CCTGCAGCCTCGCCTCCTTTCCTCTCGGAACTGGGAGCAGCAAAACAGGCCAGCCCCACTCCCAGGCTGGACTTGGGTTTTCCTTGTGGTCAGACAGTGTGGGCATCGTTTTCCTTCGTGGTGGGCTATTTGTGTCCTTCCTGTCGCTGGGGCTGCCCAGGGAGGGACTGGAGGCTCCCACCCAGGTTCCTCATGGGGACAAAAAGTGGCGAGAGGCTATTCTAGTTAGTTCCCATTTTCCTTTGTGAGTCCTCTTGAATATTTTTATAGAGGGGAAAGTTCCAACTAAGTGAGAGAATTATAAATGAACGTCCATGGCTGTAAAGGCGGGTTCTGCTAGGGGACCCTGAAATCATTTAGTTATAAGTGCTCCTTGTTACCCTAGTTTCCCAGAGTCAGGAAATGCTTGCGAAGGTTCTAGAACCTTCCAGAAGTGAGTGTAACTAACTTTGAGGGAAGGACAGGAGAGAGGGTTTGGGGAGCTAAAGACTTGCATTGCAGCCTCCTAGCATATGCCCCCTTGCTCTTTCCACACTCCCTCACCCTGTTATAATTTGTTTCAGGCTATGGAAATAATATATAGTCATTGCAGGAAGAAAAAAAACTAAAAATCACCCATTTTCTATACTCGGAGATAATGACTATTAACACTTGGTATACATTTAGTGTGTATGAACATACACATAATTTTGTGATCATATAGGTGTGTGAGCATGTTTTTCCGTGTCTGTTACACACACACAAACATGCTTTTATACCACCTTTTAAAGTATTTTAAATATCTCTCTGTGTCATCAAGTCTGTTTTTGAAAACAGTCTTTTTAAATGGCCTCATAATAGTATAAATGCTATAATGAATAGGAATTAGATATTTGCTTAATGCTCATTTTAAAGTTATTTTATTTTTTAATTTTTTAAATGTTTTTTGAAGATTTTATTTAGAGAGAGTGTGCACACACAAGTAAAGGGAGAGGGAGAGAGAGGATCTCAAGCAGACTCCCCGTTGAGGGTGGAGCTTGATGTGGTGCTCGATCTCATGACCCTGAGATCGTGACCTGAGCCAAATTCAAGAGTTTGATGCTTAATCAACTGAGCCACTCAGGTGCCCCTCAGCTGTGTTAAATAATGTTGAGATGAAGATCCTTTAAATAAGTCCAACTCTGATTATTTCCTTAGGATAAATTCTTGTAGTAGAATTTTTGAGTCAAAATAATCTGAATTTTCTAAATCCCATTGATATTGATACCAAATTTTCTCTTATAAGCTTGTTCCAATTTCTGCTATCCCTCACAGAGTGAAGAGTATCTTCAGTGTGATTACTAGCACTCAGTGGTATTTTTAACCTTTGCCAGTCTGACAGAGGATGGTATATTATTTTAATTTGCAACTTTTTTAATCATGAGAGAAGTTAAAAATTTTCTTTTATATTTGTTGCTCATTCATACTTTATCATTTATTTTGTTTTCCCCATTCTTTGCTTATTTTCCTTTTTTTTTTTTAAAGATTTTATTTATTTATTTGAAAGAGAGAGTGAGCACGAGCAGGGGGAAGGAGAGGCAGAAGGAGAGGGACAAGCGGACTACCCACTGAGCAGGGAGCTGGACATGGGGCTCGATGCGGGGCTCAATCCTAGGACCCTGGGATCATGACCTGAGCCCGAGATAGACGCTTAACTGACTGAGCCCCCCAGGCGCCCCTTTTTGCCTATTTTTCTTTTTTTTTTTTTTAAAGATTTTATTTATTTATTTGACAGAGAGAGAGCACAAGTAGGCAGAGTGGCAGGCAGAGGGAGAGGGAGAAGCAGGCTCTCTGCTGAGCAGGGAGCCGGACATGGGGCTCGATCCCAGGACCCTGGGATCATGACCTGAGCCGAAGGCAGCCGCTTAACCGACTGAGCCACCCAGGCGCCCCTATTTTTCTATATCAGACTGTTAATTGAGTTATTTGCATATTGGGGTAGGTTAAGTTGTTTTTTGTCCTGTAGTGCGGATGTTTTCTCTGGTTTGGCATTTGTCTTTGGTTTATAGTATTTCACCTATAGAATGTGTGTGTGTTTTTGTGTATAGTTTCAAACTACAGCAAAGTACAGTAGGAAATAACCTTTGTTTACCTGCCACCTAGAATGCACGGACATTTATATGTTGTCCTTTTGACTTATTTCTGATAAAGGAAGTAGAATGTTACAGATAAATTGGAATCGTCCTGGTTCCCCTTCCCATATTCCATTTCCCCCTTCCCCAGGACCGCTGCTGTCGTGGATCGAGCGTATGGATCCTTCCAGTCCGTTTTTCTTGTGTTAGCACATATGCAAGTATCATAAACAACATACAGTACTAGTTTGTGCGTGCATATGTGTTCGTTCGTGCTTTAACTTATACAGATACTACACATAACTCATATATATCATTGAGCAATTTTCCTTATTTGCACAGCAGTGTGTTCAGTTCAATTCATAATGATATATACAAATCTAGTTCATGCATTTTGACTGCTGTGTAGTATTGCATCCATTGACTATGACTCCAAATTCTTCCTCAATGTATTTATCAATTTTTCTATATTGAAGAGCACTGAAGATGCTTCTGGGTATCTAGGTTTTCTTTGCAATGCTGCAGTGAACACTTTGTACATGCTTCTCCTTCTGCACATTAGGAGATCCTCTCTCAAAGGGCATCCGTAGGAGTACTTGGTGGGTCATGTGGATTTTCAGCTCTCTGGGCTCTTGCCAAATTCTTCCCAGGGTGCTCATGCCAATTGACACTCCCACCAGCAGCGGGAAAGACTTCCTCTGTCCCACACCTTCACCAAGACATGGTACTGTCAGGCTTAGTGATTTTAGCTCACCTGGGAAGGAGATAGCATCTCCTTGTGGTTTTAATTTGCATGTCCTGATTGCTGGTGGGGTTGAACATCTTTTAAAGTGGTTACTGCCTAGAGTTTAACAGATTTTCTCTTTGCATTCTCAGCTTCTTTTTTTTAAGATTTTATTTATTTATTTGAGAGAGCGAGAGAGTGAGGGAGAGAGCCCAAGAGGGGGTAGAGTCAGAGGGAGAAGCAGACTCCCTGCTGAGCAGGGAGCCCGATGCAGGGCTCGATCCCAGGACCCTGGGATCATGACCTGAGCCGAAGGCAGTCGCTTAACCACCTGAGCCACCCAGGCGCCCTGCGTTCTCAGCTTCTTATCCTTTGCTCACTTTATCTTGGTCGGATGGGTGGTTGGTATTCTTTATGTTTCAGATACTACTGCCTTGTTATATGTATTGTAGCCATCTTCTGGTCCCTGGTCAGCCTCTCCCTTTATTTCTTCAGTTAGACCACTGGCGAGCCCACCTCCTAGGAGACGGAGGTGAGGTCACGTTCTGTCCTCAAGGAGTGCAGTATATATTCAGAGTATTAAAAAGTTCTGTAGGAACCGATCAGAGGGTTGGGGAGACACAGAGACAGCTGTGGGTCTCGCAGCAACAAGCAGTTCACCAAGAAGGGTCTGGGCTGGCCAGGAGAAGGGCAGGGCCTTCCTGGGGAGGGGGTGCAGGGGCAGGACTGTGCACGGTCAGCCCCAGAGCCATCGTCCTTCCGTGCTTCTGCCTACTCCCTCTCCGTGTTCTCTGCGTACGGCCTCCAGTCTGCCAGCCCCTGACCTGCTCAGAGCAGATTGGCTTTTCAACAGCTTTGTCTTTTGAACTTTGTATATGTTGTTTTAGGTTGAGCAGAAGTTTGGAGTTTTGGTGTCCTAGCGATCAGCCTTTACCTTTATAAGGTGGGCCTTTTATATCTCACCAGAGAAATCCTTTGCCATGCCCAAGTCAAAGACACCTGCTCACATTTTCTCAGGATAACTTTTGTTTTTCACACGGAGGTCTTTAATCCGTCTGGAGCTTTTTGCTTTTGTAGTTAAACTTCTTTCCCTTTTTTTGTGGCTTTTCCTCTGCCTCGATACTTTCCAGGCCCTCTCTAAGCTCCAGCAGGTCTGTGTCACCAGGCTTTTCTCTTGTCGCCTTGTGCTCTTTGGCTGCTCTGGGCGGGGGGGAGGGTCCCGGGCGAGGCACTCCGTGTTTATCAAGGGGGTTTCTCTGTCTCGAGCACCGTTAGCGTTTGTGACATTGGTGAGTTTGGTTTCATGTCGTGGACCCTGGCTCCAAGGGTCTAGTGATTCCACTAGAGTTCAGAATACATTCAGTTTTGGAAACTTCCACGGTCCATTGCGTATGTGTTGTGCCTGGTGCTAGAAGTGTTCTCAGATCTGGGAATGCTGTGGGGTCATGGACCCAGGGTCCCCTACAAAGACGCTCCTGCTTAACCTCGATCATGCGACCCTCTGTATTTTTTCATAAGGGATCAAGGGCATTGATAAAGTATGCTGTTCTTGTCAGTGTCCTAGCTTTATGGAAACTGAAGTTACACCTAAGCAGCTGGGGTGCTTTGAATTTTTCCCCACCCTTCCTCAACCCCATTTAGATCAGGAGAAAACAAGAAAAATCATTATCCGTCCAACAGCGTGTAGTTTCTATATAGTCAAGATGAAGAGAGACATGAAAACAAGAAAAATAAAGACCAATTTTATAGGACTTTCCTGATAGACTGTCACCAGTGTCCCCTGGAGAACAGGTCAAAGGTAACATCCCAAACACCTGTGGGAAACAGCTTCCCAACAGACTGTTGCCCTGTACCCCCCCTGAGGGTGCCTCTGCCATCCCCTCACCAGATGGCTCGCTGGCTTCTTTCTCAGAGGAGAGGAAGCGGGAGAAGTGGGCGTAGGGTGATTCCCAAGGCCGCGCAGGTGTTCCGGGCCACACAGCACCCGCCAGGGGCCCGGCCTCCCGGCCTCCGCCTTGCCCATCGCCAGGCACCACCAGCAGCTTTCCGTAATCACACACCCCTAGTGACAGTTGGCATTTTTAGCATGTTTGTTTCTGTTTACACACACTTTGCCTGCCTTTTCTCCCTTTTTCCCTGCCTACAGCATCTTCTTTTCACCCTGCCTTTGTGTTTTTTTTCCTTAGGCCGGAAGCTGAGAGGAAAAGCCTTTTATTTTGTCAACGGCAAAGTGTTTTGTGAGGAAGACTTCCTGGTGAGTTCGTTACCCAAACCTCCCCCGCCCGCAGTCCTGACCAGAGTCAGGAGCAGGGGCCTGTGGGGCCGAAGCGTGTGGCTTCTCTCCGTGATCCCCGGTGCTGGCGGGGAGCCGAGTGCGGCCGGAGAAGGGGGTCTGCACTTTCCTTCTGTAGATGCACCGGGTGGCCCTTGTTCCCGAAGCAGATGACAGACCGCAGAGCTTTGTGCTCGGAAGGGACGTGAGGGCCACTTGGCCTGTCCTCTTGTGTTCTGCCTGCTTCTGCGTACCCCACCTCCCTCTTCAACCTCGGGACTGGGGTTCAGGCCTTCGTTCCTTCACATCCCGGCTGCTCTCCGTGGGCAGCCAGCCTCTCGTGCTTCCAGAGCCTTTCTGCGTACCAGTGACTCCCAGGCCTGAGCTCCAGCCCTGTCCGCACCCCTCAGGCCAGCTGCTGACATCTCACTGGGCCACTGGACGGTGCCCTGGGCTGTCCCCCAGCCCTTCACAGGCCGCTTGTCTGAAGCAGAAGCCTCATGTTACCTGAGAACTGTGGACCCCTCCTCCTTCCCACCGCTCCCAGAACGTGGCTGAGCATTGATCCTTGAGCCACCCCGGCCTTCCTGGGCCAGCTTAGCTCCCACGCTACCCGTGTGTCAACCCCCCTCACCCAGGCCCCACGTCTCTAGGGTTCAGAGCATGCGCAGAAGCTGTGTTCCGGAGCCTGCCTTGCGCCTCTCCGGCTCTGCTGCTTGCTAGCACCCCTGCACAGCCTCAAGCCTTTGTGCCTCATGGCTGGGGTGTCTTCCCTTTCTTTGCCCGGGTACCTGACAGCCTTGTCCCCCTCCCTGGCAGTGAGCGCCCCTCCTCTGTGGGGCCGCCACACCTGGGCTTCCCTGGCCGAGCAGGAAGCAGCCGGCAGGGTGGCACCCACAAACCTTTCTCCCTCACCTGACTGCAAGCGCCTAGGGAGGAGAGAACATGCTTCTTCGCCTTGACCTCTTCAGACCCTAACCCAGTGCCCAGCATGGAGTGGCGCCCCGTAAATGGTAGATGACCTGCGCCTGCGTCGCCGGGGGACCCGGAGATGGCTTGAGGTTGATGCACTGTGACCTGGGCTGGCCAGTACCAGACAAGCACACCCAGACTGGCGGAAGCAAAAAGGAAACGCATTCAGCAGTGGCCTCGGGGTCGTTTTGTCTTCAGTTTGGGGCCCTGCCTCAGCAGCGTTAGCTCGCTTCTCAGGCACTGCCTGGTGGCCACAGGGCGGCAGCGCTCCAGGGTTCGCGTCCTCCCGCCTTCCATGCCCATGAGCCACAGAGCCTGTCCTGCCCCTCCAGTCTCACTGGCTCTGGTGGGTCACATGCCCACCTGTGGGCAAAATCTTTGGTGCTGGAGGAATGTGGGGCTCTGATTGGCCAGGTCTGAGTCCGTGCCCCGCCTTGGCTCCCAGCAGGTGGTCGGCCCCACAGGCTCATGGGAGGTTGAGGTGTGGGGGTGCAGCTGGCTCACCCTGAAAATAAAGAACTGTCACCCTTGAGGTTGCAGAAGGTTCCCTTTTTCTTTTTTTCCAACCTTCCTTTCCGTTACATGTTCCCCCCCTATAATGTGTGTTTGTAATATCTAAACTTGTAGTATCTTCCAGCATGTGGTATCTTTTTGGTGTGTGCTTTCCTGAAAAGTGTCTCCCATTTCTTTCAAGACTCCAGCTGTGCCTGTGTGTGTGCGTGTGTGCGTGTGTGTTTTGGTAAGGTAAGGTAGAGAATATTTACCAAGTTCCTCTGAAACTAAAGCCATTGGCTTTTTTGGCAGAACCAGACTTAAATTTGAATCCTGTCCTTACCCCTTATAGGCTGTGTGACCTTGTGAAAGTCATTGAATCCTCTCTGAGTTTCCCTTGTTTTCATCTGAGAAATGGTATGATATATACCTTGTTTTAAGAATTGTTTTAAGGAGGGGCGCCTGGGTGGCTCAGTCGGTTAAGCGTCTGCCTTTGGCTCACGTCATGATCCCAGGGTCCTGGGATCGAGCCCTTCCATCGGGTTCCTTGCTCAGCAGGGAGTCTGCTTCTCCCTCTCCCTCTGCTCCTCCCCCCACTCGTGCTCGCTCGCTCTCTCTCTCAAAAAATAAAATAAAATAAAATCTTAAAAAAAAAAAAAAGAATTGTTTTAAGGAATACAACTTGCCTCGGACTCCCCTGATGGGCTTGTGAAGACCCATGTGTTACCAGGTCCCCTCCCAGAGTTTCTAATTCAGTAGGTCTGGGGTGGAGCCCAAGAATTTGCATTTCTTACGAGTTCCCAGGTGGTGTCAGGGAACTCCTCTTTGAGAACCACTGGCTTAGAGATTAAAGCCTCTCTATGTACAGCCTCTTACACAGAGCCTGGCATGTTGTGGATGCCCAGATGCAGCTGTTGTTAGGGTGAGTGGTATTGGTGTCTGTAATGGCTTTGTGGCAGAAGATATGCCATGATTCATCACACAACTGTTGTTGTCCTCTGGGAAATGACAGATTCCTGTATAGAGTGACACATCTTTCTGACAAGTTCCTTGTCATCCTCGTGACTGGTGAGCAAGTGGATGCTGGGTCCTCTGTCCTGCCTGGCTTTAACTTTCTTTTCTGCTTCCTCTGCAGTACTCTGGGTTCCAGCAGTCTGCTGACAGGTGTTTTCTTTGTGGACATCTGATCATGGACATGGTGAGTAGGGTCAGTGGAGCAGGATGATGGCACGGTGGGAGGGGGAGGCATTCACAGAAAAAAGAAACTAACAGTTGAAAACTGTGTTTCCTACCTTGATTTGTGGTTGCATCTGGTTTTATTAAGAGAAGACCTGTGTAAGGCAGCTGCTTGCTCCACACGAAGCCATGTTGTTGGCTTTTACTGGTATTAGCATCCTTAATCATGTAGTCCACACAGTGTTGTGTTTCTGATGATGCTCTTTTCTCTGGGCTGTTTGGATCACACCAGCCTCCCTCTGATTTTCTGTGATCCTTGTGGTGTCCCGGGTGAGATGCCACATGCCAAGCTTCATCTCCCTTGAATTTGGGTACAGAGAGTTGGATAAACACAGTTGTTTGTGCCTCATGTTCTGCCTGGTTCTGTCTGTTCCTAAGATGAGTTTTGGGGGCCTGTCATTAGTTCTGAGACAGCAGAACAAGAAGCAAGTTTTATACATTCTGTTCCTCACTCAGCCACTGGCTCTCTGAGCTTGTCTTGGGCCTCAGTATCTTTATCTCTTCAGTGGAGACAGTTTTTCTTTCCTGGCCTCCTGATAGGGTAAGGTTGTGAGGTTAACAAATGCAGAATACTTAGTCTGTCTCAGGGATCAAACTGTTCACCATTGGAGATCAGGCCTTAAGAATTTCTTTAATATACTGGTTAAAGAAAATTATTATAAATATTCTTTTAGTCGGAAAGAGGTAAAACCCTCTCTAAGCTGACCCATTAATTCCATTCTGGAGAAGGGAATTGCTAATCATTGCTATTTTTTTTTCTTTTACCTCTCTTATTGAGAAACAACTCCTACAGTAAAGGGTGTACATCTTAAGCGTACAGGTGAATGAAATTTTGCATATGCACATACCTGTGTAACCCCACCCAGGTCAAAGTGTGGATGTTTCCCACATCCCACACCCCAGAAACTTCCTTCTTGTCTTCCTCCCAGTCCAGAAACCCTCCTCCAAAGGTACCCTCTATTCTGAGCTCTGTTGCCCCAGATTCATTTTGCTGGTCCTGGAACTTCATATAAATGGAATTATACAGTATAGAGTCCTTTGGGTCTGCCTTTTCTCACTTAGAAACTGTTTGTTGTTGTTTAAATATTTTATATATTTGGTAGAGAGAGAGAGAAAGAGAGAGGGCCAACACAAGCAGGGGGAGTGGCAGAGGAAGACGGAGAAGCAGGCTCCCCGCTGAGCAGGGAGCCCGATGCGGGACTCCATCCCAGGACCCTGGGATCATGACCTGAGCCGAAGGCAGACGCTTAACTGACTGAGCCACCCAGGGGCCCCTTTGTGGTTGTTTGGGGGGGGGCAGGGGCAGTGGGAGAGGGAGAGAGAGAATCTTAAGCAGGCTCCATGCCCAGCGATGTGTGTCTCGATCTCACGACCCTGAGATCATGACCTGAGCTGAAATCAAGAGTTGGACGCTTAACCGACTGAGCCACCCAGGTACCCCTAGAAAATGTTCTTGAGGTTCATCCATGTTGTTGCCTGTGTCAGCAGTTCATTTATTTTCATTACTAGGGTAGAATTCCATCGTATGGATATAGCAGCTTGTATATTTGTTGCTCTGCTGATGGGGATTTGGGTGGTTTCCAGTTTGAGGCTATTTAGGAATAAAGCTGTTGTGAATATCTTCGGCATGTTGCTGGGCAGAAACACTCATTTCTGCTGGCTTTGTGCTAACATGTATAAAACAGCAGTGAACCAGAGCCTGCCCTGTTCATGAGGAGAATCTGCTGTTGCCAGGCTCGGACACACCACAGCGGAGCTTAGGCCTGAGAGGGCCGGGTCCTCGTTGTAGCCAACGCCTCCCTGGGAGCATGGCCCTCCCTCCATTCCCACAGGCGAGGCAGGCAGGAGCCACACACCCTCACCCCTACCTTCCACGGACGCCAGCCAGACTCCACAGGCATCCGATTCTTGGGCGGAATGGGTCCTCGATTTTAGAGTCCTTCTGACAAACCCACTGCCTATGAGGTCAACGGTGTCCAAATGTATGAACATGATTATACACTATTTTTTATTTCCAGGTATCCTCAGCCTTCTTAGGGCCTCAGGGTGTTTCACTTACCTCTTTCTGCCTGATACACCACCCCCAAGACGTAGTAGTTTAAAACAGCAGTGGCTTACTTATTGAGATTCATAGAACTCCGTTAGTCAGGGCTCAGAGGGATGGTTCTTCTGCTCCGTGTGGCATTGCCTGGGGTCACTTGTGTAGTGGTGTTCAGCTGGTGTCGCAGTTGAGTGCCCAAGATGGCCTCTCCCCCGTGGCCGCTGATCTCTTTAATTCGTCTAGCTTGGACCTCCTACAGCAAAGGAGGGAGGGAAGCTGCCAGACTTCTTAAGTCCGAAATCTCTCCACATCATTTCTTCCTCATTCTGTTGCTCACGGAACATCACAAGGCCGCTCTCAGTACACAGCGGGGTGGTGAGGGGGGGATCTCCTCCACTTCTTGAAGTGAGGACCAGCCTTGCATGCAGGAAGGGAAGGAATGAAGCTTTGGAGACCATCTCTGCCCCACGAGGATAATGCCAAGTTGAACCTGGGTCCTTGCGGGTCTTCTCTAGGACTTGAAAATTTTTAGCAAATGTCTGTCTGGTAGTGACACCCACTTTTTTAAAGACAGAACCCTTAACTGCTGCCAAGAATTTTTGTAATGCCAGAAAAGATTCCTTCCGACACCATTCTTGGTTCTTCAAGAGAAGCAACCCGTTGTCCAGTTCTTTGTATAAATTGTCCCTGTCCGCCCGGCCTCCCTGGTTAGTAGAGGGGAATGCTCTGAGCGTGCGGGTGGAAACTGGGCATTTCCCCCACATTAAAAAGAATTATCACAGTGAGTCAGCGTGCAGCAAAAGGCATCTGTGTCCTGCCATACTTTAGGCACATTGTGGGTAAAGTCCATTTAAGGGTCTTTTCCGCGAAGACAGTGTTAGCTGGGGAACAAAATGCATTCCGAGCTCCTCGTTGCCAAGTGGACTTTGGAAGCCCAGCCTGTTGTTTGTCCTATTCTGGCAGCTTCGGGCAGGTCGAGAGGGGCCTCAAAGGTTAGTGACGCACCAGAGGGAACGAGGAAGCTAGGGAGCCGAGCCTTCAGAGGAAGAAGGGAGAGCGCACGAAGCGTCCAGCTTATCTCTGTGGCTGCAGCATGTGAGGTGTGGCGTTGGCCTTGGGGGGAAGCAGGCCTCGGGCACTGGCAGGCCCACACCTTTCCTGCAGGTGTCACACACACCGGCACAAACTCAAACCAGTGGTTCTTCGATTTTAGCGTGCATTGGAATCATATTTTGAAAACACCAACCGCTGGGCTTGACCCTGGCGCTTCTGATTCTGGAGATCCGGGATGGGCCCTGAGAATGTACATTTTTTAACAAGCTCCCAGGTGATGCTGGTCCTGTGGCTCCAGGGACCACACTTTGAGGTGCACTGACTTAATAGGAAAACGGTTTGATGTCACCTAGCGGGGGGGGTTGGAGGTGGGCAGTTCTGCAGGGAGGTAATTTGGTCACTCGCTGACGTCACCAAGGACATTTTTCGCACGTCTTCTCTCTCCCGCCCTGCACGTGTGGGCTCGGTCCTGGCTCCAGGACAGCTTCTTGCCTCTCCAGGCATCACAACGAGATCAAATGACACTAAGAGGAAGAAGGTTTGTGGGACTTTCTCTGCTTTGTGTTTTAAAACAATAGCAGTAGGGCACCTGAGTGACTTAGTTGGTTAAATGTCCTACTCGCGATTTCTGCTCAGGTCATGATCTTGGGGTCCTGGGATCGAGCCCCACGTCGGGCTCTGTGCTTGGCAGGGAGGCGCTTGGGGATTCTCTCCCTCTGCCCCTCCCCCTGTGCCAGTGCGTGCGGTCTTTCTCTCTTTCCCTCAAATAAATAAATCTTAAAAAAAAACAACAACAGCAACAAAGAAGCTTTGCTTATGCTTGGATTGGGAATGATCAGCGGTTGAGTCATAGCTTCTGGATTATCATGCCTCGGAGTGAAAGCTGCTTAGGAGGAGGCACCTGGGAGGCAGAACTTAAGAGGTTTTCTGAGCTCTGCTATTTCCATGTGGAATTAACTTTAATCCTTCCATGGACCGGCTGCTTCCTAAATCTGGGACGGAGCCTGGCGTGGCCCTGCCTGCTTCACATCATTTCCTGCAAAGAACTGCAAAAGAGCCCTCCAGATTCTCCTCAGGAGGGATATGTCCAGGAGAAGGATCCTGTTTGGCTCCCTCCTGTTGATACATTTACCTTGATTCGCCTTTCCCACCCCGTCCTCTCTTGACCTTGGTCCAAGCGAAACTCTGACGAGCGTGCGCCGTGCGATGTGATCGCGTAGGGACCCTCGGCTTGATGTGTTCCTCTCCTTTCCACTGTCCAACCTGTCCCGTAATCCCTGCTGAGTCCGAGCCTCTTCCTGTCTGCCTCCAGATCCTGCAGGCCCTCGGGAAGTCCTACCACCCTGGCTGCTTCCGCTGTGTCATCTGCAACGAGTGTTTGGACGGGGTGCCCTTCACCGTGGACTCCGAGAACAAGATCTACTGTGTCCGAGATTACCACAAGTAAGGAGGGACGGGGTGCAGAGGGGCCTCAGGGCCGAGCCACATTGATCTCGCCGAGCGAAGGAGAGACACCCGCTGAGGTGCACCCGCAGGCTCTGCTTGAACCCTGAGTCCACAGTCCGGCAAAGGCTTCGTGGTTTCAAGGTGTAGCAGGGGCCTTGGGAGGTCAGCTGACACCAGTTCAGATAGGAACTGGTAACAGAATCATGTTTCCTGAAAGATCAGAACCCAAATCCCTATAATCAGATCCCGGTTAGGCCTTGGGAAGCCTCTGCCAAGCCCAGTGGCTCCAGCTTGACCTAACTTCACAAGGCAGCGACTCAGGGCTGGTCGCCACCCCCCTCGGTCTGCCTGGGCCTGTGCTGGGCACCACGAGGGGAGTGAACAGGTCAGTCTCTATCCCTAGTAGAGTGAGAGGGTCCAGCTAGGCTTGTTACCACCGGGGAATAATCTCGAAGTGCTACTAAAACACCTCCCAGAGAATGAGCCAGACTGTCTGTTTTGTTTTGTTTTGTTTTTTAATAAAGATTTTATTTATTTGAGAGAGGGAGAGAGAGTGTGTGCGCATGCAAGCAGGGGGAGTGGGAGAGGGAGAAGCAGACTCCCCACTGAGCCGGGAGCCCGATGCGGGGCTCGATCCCGGGACCCCAAGATCATGACCTGAGCCACAGGCAGACGCTTCACTGACTGAACCACCCAGGTGCCCCAAGCCAGGCTGTCTTGATTCAAGGGCTGGGGGCAGCGTGGGGGGGTTCACTTGAAGAGGGATGGGCGGGAGGCCAGCCATGAGGAAGGCTCAGTGGGGGCTCTAGGACCTGCCTCCTAGAAACAGCACAATACGCATTTTATTGCCTCTTTGCTTCTCCCCGCAGGGTGCTGGCCCCCAAGTGTGCAGCCTGTGGGCTTCCCATCCTTCCACCTGAGGTAAGAAGCTTTTTCAGGCCTGTTCCTGGCATCTTCCATGACACGAATATCTCCCCGGGATCATCTACAAGATCTGTGTCTTGTCCTTATGCCTTTGAAAAAAATCCTTCTGAAATCTCACCTCTGACCTTAATAGTGTCCTCACCAAGAAGCCCCTTTCTTCTTGGCTGGCTTCCCCAGCCCATTGACCTCCGTGTGCCCTATTCGTCCCTATAATCGGGTCAAACTCCCTGACTTGATAGTGACTCCCAGATTAGAAGACGAGCAGAAATCTTGCCTTTCATTTATTTTTTAAAGAAAAATCACTCTCCACGTAGGTGGTTTTTTTCAGTGTTGACTCTGACATTCCAGAAGGTAGAACTGCTGTCCCTCCTCCTTCCTCTCTCATCAGTTAAAAGTTGGGTCCCCCAGCTGACCCCTTGTTCTTCCTTTAATTCCGTCCAGGGCTCAGATGAGACCATCCGTGTCGTGTCCATGGACAGAGACTACCATGTGGAGTGCTACCACTGCGAGGTAGGCCCCTCCCTGCCCAGACGCCCGGAAGTCCCAGAGAAGAGCATCCCCGGGTTGACCGGGGGCTGAGATGGTCAGCAAGGTGTGGTCAGGGGCTGCCCTCCAGGTCAAGGGGTGAAGCCTGCCTTGTAGGGGAGGTTGGAGGACACGTACATGTTTGGGACGTAAAGATCTTTGCTGTTTCCTCCACGTTGGTTAACTGCCAAGTCCTGAAACCATTGCAGCTGGCTCCCTGAGGCCGCAGGGTGGGAGGCTCCAGGGGGCCACGGGTCTCACATGCGACATTGTCAGGCAGCTGTGTGATCTGGGGAACAGACACCCTCCCCTCCAGCTTATAGGCTGTTCTGTCTGCCAAGAACCCCTTTCTGAGCTGACCCCTGGAAATCATGAAGAAATCCGCCCCTCCTTGGAAACAGGCATGGGTGGTGTGAAGGTGGATGGGGGCCCATCTGCACCCTCTTTACCTTGTGTCACGCCCGGGTGGGTGCCCCATGGCTGTCAGGCAGGCCCGGGGTCACCTCTCCCCACCCCTCATGAAGGTTGCACACACTTTAAGTGTCCGTGGGCTTTCAGCCAGAATTAAGTGGATTCACCCACGGAAGGACAGTAGATTCATTTCGTGACGCCGTGGGTGAGGTGAATGGGAGAGGGGTGGGGGCGAGGTGGGGAGCTCACTGCTAGCACCAGGCACCGGAGAGCAAGGGGCCATCTGCTCACTACAGTCCTCGCTCTGCATTCAGGCCAGTGCTGTCCCATAGAAACCCGAGAGCCAGGGGTCCAAGTCATGGGTGTCATTTTGTTTTCTAGTAGTCACATTAGAAACAAAATAAAGCGAAACAGATGGGATTCATTCTTTTAATATTTTATTCAACCCACATATCCAGTGTTCTTTCAATATGTGTAACCAGTATGAGGGATTTCTCATGAACGGTCTTACATTCGTTTTTTGCCCTAAGTCTTGGAGGTACAGTGTGGGTATCCACCGACGTCCCATTTCCATTCTGACCAGCCCCGGTTCAAGTGCACGTTGGGGGCGTGTCACGCTTTCACTCGGCAGGACTGCCCGGTTCCGCGCCGGCATTCGCTGCCCGCACAGCCCGCTCTGCTGGTCCCCGGGACGTCGGCCTTTGGGTCAGCCTTGCAGTCCTCTCTGTGCTGTTCTGCTACCGCTGGGCCTTTTTGCCTCCCCCCAGGACTGCGGTCTGGAGCTCAATGATGAAGACGGCCACCGCTGCTACCCCCTGGAGGACCACCTGTTCTGTCACTCCTGCCATGTCAAGAGACTGGAGCAAAGCCCCTCGTCTGCAGCTCTTCACCAGCACCGCTTCTAGCTGGAGCCGCTCCCAGACCTCCCGTGGGAGATGACAAGACATCTGCCTGTTAGTTCCAGCGGCCCCCCGGGGTGGAGCCGGGGTTGGGGGGAGAGGGGTTAGGCAGGTAAGTTTCTGCATATACACCTGGGGTGCCTTTCCTTGAACCAGGGAGCTGAGCCCTACCTGTGTGGCATGTGTATTTTCCAAGTGCCTTTCTGCACCGCCACGCCCTGTCACATTACTCAGGAAGACACTCCAGCTGCGTGTGGCATGTGACGGGGGATCGCATCCGTGTAACCGAGGGCAGCCTCCAGCCGCTCTCAGATGGAAAGGGTCACAGTGAGCATGTTTCACAATATCCTCTGAAGAGAGATCTCAGCTGCCGATACAGCTGCCCTCTCCTGTCCCTTGGGAAAATACCCACACCCAGATGCTATACCCCGCAACTGCATACACGTACACAATATGATTTAAGATTGCGTCCAGACGCACGCGCGCGCGCGCGCGCGCGCGCACACACACACACACACAGCATTATTTAAGACTTCCTGCCTCCCCAGAGACTCAGTTCTTCTCTTGAATGGCTGCACATTTTCATTGCATTATGGCAAGAGGGACGCTCTCGCGGGTGCTATCTTAGGAAGAATTTGCTTGCTAAACCAGAGCCAAGTTTTGAAATGAGTGAGCCAGGCAGGGCTTCCTCCTGGTACACTGACCGCGTTTTGTGTGCCCCTGCAAATCTTCACTCCCTTGAAGGCAGCTGGGAGCCCGATGGAGATTTGCCCTGTTCCAGCAAAGTGTGCTTTGGGTCAAGGGCTTGGTGCAGGCCCAGACCTCCTTTGCCCAGCTGTTTACACTGTTTCTCTCTGGAGCTCTCGAGAGTCCGTGACTCCGGAGTCGCTCCCACAAAGGCAAGTCTCAGAATCCCACGTGGGGACATCTCTGTGCCTGTTTTAGTTTCTTTAGTTAACCACAAGGTTTGGGCCATCCTGCCCACCTGCTGAGAGCTAGCCCCCTTCTCCGCGGGGGAGAGAGTGTGTGTGTATGTGTGTGTGTGTGTGTGTGTGTGTGTGTGTGTGTGTGTGTGATCTCTAAGCAGCACAGGAGGGGGTGCCTCCGGATAGATGAGTATGTTCACCTCGCACGGCTCTCCCTCACCCAGTTCTGGGCACAGGCAGTGACGTGTGAAGAGACCTGTATAAGGTACACTGCTTTCGCCTGGGTTTTCTTCTTGTTTTTAATCGTCTCCCCCCATTCTCGGTCTTCCACACACACAAAATACCTCACAGATAAGAGCTTCACCAAACCACAGATGAGGCATTTGGCCATTGCACTGACCTCCCAGGCCTCCGTCAGTGCGTGCGGAGTCTCTGCCTCCACGCGGGCCAGACACCAGCCGCTCAGGTCACGGGCACCTTAACTAAAGCTCGGCTGCCAGTGGGTCAGATGGAACGTGGGTGTTACTGCCCTGATGCAGTTAATCAGGCAGGTCCCCCCGGGGTGAGAGGGCCACGCACCGGCAGGAGTTCAAGACCACCTGTGCACTCAGGAAGCACGGTTGGCCCTGAGTATCACACACTCCTGAGGCCAGACGTCCGTACCCCTGGTATTCCTATGAAAAGATGGTGTAAAAGAAAAATAAAAAAGAAGGCTGGCTGGCATTTGCCCTCTCAGTCCGTGGGGAGGGCCCGCCGGAGGGCAGGGACCAGCCTGGGAGCATGGCACCGGCGTCTGCTGTCCGCCTCATCACCTCACCCCCAGGGCAGCGGGGGGCCACGGAGGGCGGGCGGGGGAGCCCAAGGCACGTGGGACTCGCAGACTTGTCAGTGGGCCCGGCTCCCGACTCGAGGCCGCGTTTTGATTCATTGGGTAGCAGCTGCTCTAAGACACACAGAATTGGCCCCGAGAGTTGTCTCCTGTTCTTCTTACGTTCATTCTGTTAAGATGGCCAGATGTCACTTCAGCCCAGGCTGTGGGCTTTCGTCGATTCCGTGGCACAGGCCAAGCCTCCAGAAGCCCTTGGATGCATGCGGCCGGGGGAGTGAACCCTGGGGCTGAACCCCTCTCTTCCCGGAGTCCCCAGCTCTGCTCTGGCAAGGCTGGCGGGGGGAGGGGGGGAGCGTCTTCACTTGGCTTTGCCAACCCAGGAACGTTTCTGGCCTTGCTGACCCACCTTTGCTGCACCTGCGAGTCCAGCAAAAGTGCAGAAAATTGCCTGAGAGCAACTGTCAGACACGGATTTGTTTGCAAATTGGGCAACTAGTTTTTTTAAAAAATCTGTGATTAATTTTTTAAATGATACGTTTTAGGTGGCCTTGATGGAGGTGATTCAGATAATCTGCAAATACGGTGTTTTCTACTGTTGAGGAAAGAACATTTAAGAGACTTTCCAGAAGCCCGAGAAACTGGGGCGGCGAGTTGTAGGAATCTCGCGCCAGTTCCGTTTCTCAGGCTCTGGCGCTAAAGCCACGAGGGAGATGGGTCACCTGCGTGGTATCTTAGACATTCTGTAAGCTGTTAGCCAAACAACTGTAATGGGGTTGTATTTATAGGCACCTAGAAAGGAGACACAACGACCCGGTAGACCAGGAGGAATTTGTTTATTTTAAAAGGTAGAGCGGATAGCCCTTCCTGAGTTCCCTAGGTAGCTCTTGGACTGTAGATAAACAAGGAGTATTAAGGTCTGGTGGCAGACCCCAAGGCCAGCCTCCAGCCTCCCCCCTCCCCCGCCTCATTTGGCCCGAAGTTTTTCCCTCCCCCACAGCGAGGACCATTCAGAAGCTGCCAGGGGGGTGTGAGGAAAGCCAGTGACCTGGTTTGGCCTGCCCTTCTCTCTCTGATGTTCTCCCACCTGCGGCTGGGGAAAGAGTGACGTGTTCACCTCTCACCGTGGGAGGGCATTACACCCTGTCTGGGTCATTGCCCGTATGTACATGGCAACAGGACTTCCCACTTCTCCGTGGTCAGTGCTTGAGTGAGAGCCTCTTTCAGCCGAGTCCACTGAGGTGGGGCCACCAACCACGTGTGCAGGACTTGACCTCACACCAGCCTTGTTGCAAGACGCACTCATTGCAACGCTGTCTGCCAGGAAACCCAAGTTCTTTGTAGTCTCCGCGCCAGGAATCAGTTCTCATTTCCAGGTTATTTGAAGTCAGTCTTAAAAGGAATAGAATACAACGAGTAAAATATATTAGCTATCATTCTGAGCCGGAACTGGATAGATGTGGGAAATTTCTGTATAGTGTGTGAAAATTTCACCATGCAGGGAAATTATTTTCCTCTGTATCTCTTCTTTTCTTATAAAAATTATTCGAAATTGTACTGTTACTATAAATTCTTCCAGATATTGTTACTACAGAATTACTCAGAATTGTACTGTTGCTATAAGAGTATTCAAAATATCATGCCAATAAACTGCATCAATTTGTAGACAATTAAAAGTGCTCTCCAACAGGATGCTTATTGGGTTTTCTTCTGTGTGTGTGGAAGTAAGCAGACAGTGCTTCTCGCTAACTGGATTTGGTCTTCTCTTAGAGCTCTGGATCCTTAAGGGTGTCAAAACTACAAAAGGTCCCAGATTTTACCCTCCTTGCCAGCTAATAAGGTAGCATGTCATGGTTTCATGGAACGTGGTGGAAGTTACGAGACTCCTAGGTCAGAGACAAAAGACAGGTGAATGCAGCACCAGCCAGGAGCACTTTATCAGCATTTTATCAGCATCTGTGGTTTTAATCAGCATTTACACTGACTCCCTGAGCTGTCGTCCCTCTAGGGTCCCATGAAGAGGTGCCCACACTTACAGTGGGCTGCATGACAAGGGGACACCCGAGCCTAGGGAACCTCAGTCTTACAATGATGGGTAAGCCTGCCTGCCTGTTGCTCCAGAGAGAGACTCTTGTGTCTGCCACCCAAGACATCCTAGAAAAGACAGTCTGGAACTAAAGCAGTCTAGCTCACAGGTTGTGCAGGAACATGAGTGACCCTTGGAGAATCATTTTCCAAGAATCGGCAATTCCTTCCCCTGGGTCCTCAACATTGAGACACGAGGTCGTGCTGCAGGGGTGGTCGCTCTGTGTCCTTTTGTGTATGTTGTTTTTTTTCTAATGAGTTTCTTTCTGATCAAAGAATCCCAGAGGTGAGTGGCCCTCTGGATTTGAGGCCAGCACGCACAGGAGGGCGGTGCTTGCAGAGTGAGGGGGCTGAGTGTGTGCTTGGAGTCCCTGGGGTAGGAGAGGGGGTCCGGGGACTTGTTTTCCACTGCTCAGTCCAGGGCTGCTTCAGGCTTCAGGTTAGTTCTTATGGCCGCCAGGGACCCAGGAAAGCGGAGCATGAGGGTACTGATGAGGGTGGTGTCTTACTGGAAAATAAAACCTCTTTTTACGTGATGAGAGAGCACGTATACTGATTTCACAAATGAGTTTTCCTATGACCCTGATGCCACAAGGGATGAGACCACAGTCAGGGGAAAAGGTGGCCTGGGCCAAGGTATGCCGGTGCCCCAGCTTTGGGGTGGGAGGTGGTGACGAGGCCCCGATTTGCAGTGTTTGCTGGTTTCTATGATGTACATCTTCCCCTCATGGCCAATTTCAGGTGATCTGCGTGATGTCCTTGAACCTGGGCGTGGGACGAGATGGCACGGTCAGGAACAGACACTAGCCAGCTCAGGCCTTTGGGCCATTTAGGGCTGAAGCAGTGGGGAAATCTGCTTTGGTCTTAGGTTCCGCGATTAAAGCAGTAACAACAGTGGCAGCTGACATTCCATTGTGTGCTCACCGTGTACTAGGTACTATTCTCGGGGCCATATTCTTTATAATCTTTTAGTTTATGGACAAGGCAACGGAGCCACAGAAAGGTAAAGTAACTCTCTGAACATTGAGGACCCAGTAGACCAAGCCGAGATCCCATCCCAGGCAGCCTCACCCAGAGGGAGTTGTACTGCTCTGGCTATTGGAGGCAGTAACTCGGCTTTCAGTGGATTCCTTCCTTAGAGCCACTTAGCCTGAAACCCTCATTGCGGGGGGGGGGGGGGGGGGG